GCGGGAGTGGCCACTATGGCAGAGGGGCGGCGGGAATGACTATGGCGAGGGACGTGGCGGGAGTGGCTATGACAAGAGGGGCGGCGGGAGTGACTATGGCAAGGGACGTGGCGGGAGTGGCTATGGCAAGAGGGGCGGCGGGAGTGGCCACTATGGCAAGAGGCGCGGCGAGAGTGACTATGGCAAGGGTCGTGGCGGGAGTGGCTATGGCAAGAGGGGCGGCGGGAGTGACTATGGCAAGAGGCGCGGCGGGAGTGGCCACTATGGCAAGAGGGGCGGCGGGGGTGGCCACTATGGCAAGAGGCGCGGCTGGAGTGGCCACTATGGCAAGAGGCGCGGCAGGAGTGGCCACTATGGCAAGAGGCGCGGCGGGAGTGGCCACTATGGCAAGAGGGGCGGCGGGAGTGACTATGGCAAGAGGCGCGGCGGGGGTGGCCACTATGACAAGAGGGGCGGCGGGAGTGGCCACTATGGCAAGAGGCGCGGCTGGAGTGGCCACTATGGCAAGAGGCGCGGCGGGAGTGGCCACTATGGCAAGAGGCGCGGCGGGAGTGGCCACTATGAAAAGAGGCGCGGCGGGAGTGGCCACTATGGCAAGGGACGTGGCGGGAGTGACTATGGCAAGAGGGGCGGCGGGAGTGACTATGGCAAGGGGCGCGGCGGGAGTGGCCACTATGGCAAGAGGCGCGGCGGGAGTGGCCACTATGGCAAGAGGCGCGGCGGGAGTGGCCACTATGGCAAGAGGCGCGGCGGGAGTGGCCACTATGGCAAGAGGCGCGGCGGGAGTGGCCACTATGGCAAGAGGCGCGGCGGGGGTGACTATGGCAAGAGGGGCGGCGGGAGTGACTATGGCAAGAGGGGCGGCGGGAGTGACTATGGCAAGAGGGGTAGCGGGAGTGACTATGGCAAGGGACGTGGCGGGAGTGGCTATGGCAAGAGGGGCGGCGGGAGTGGCCACTATGGCAAGAGGCGCGGCGGGAGTGACTATGGCAAGAGGGGCGGCGGGAGTGACTATGGCAAGAGGGGCGGCGGGAGTGACTATGGCAAGAGGCGCGGCGGGAGTGACTATGGCAAGAGGCGCGGCGGGAGTGACTATGGCGGGAGTGACTAGAGAGGCGCGGCGGGAGTGACTATGGCAAGAGGGGCGGCGGGAGTGACTATGGCAAGGGCGCGGCGGGAGTGACTATGGCAAGAGGCGCGGCGGGAGTGACCACTATGGCAAGAGGCGCGGCGGGGGGGGGGAGGCGGGAGTGGCCACTATGGCAAGAAGTCGGGAGGCCACTATGGCAAGAGGGCGGGGGGGGGGGAGGCGGGAGTGGCCACTATGGCAAGAGGCGCGGCGGGGGGGGGGGGGGCGGGAGTGGCCACTATGGCAAGAGGCGCGACGGGGGGGGGGGGAGTCGGGAGTGGCCACTATGGCAAGAGGCGCGGCGGGGGGGGGGAGGCGGGAGTGGCCACTATGGCAAGAAGTGCGGCGGGGGGTGGGGGAGGCGGGAGTGGCCACTATGGCAAGAGGTGCGGCGGGGGGAGGTGGGTGGCCACTATGGCAAGAGGTGCGGCGCGGGGGGGGGGGTGGCCACTATGGCAAGAGGTGCGGCGGGGGGGGGGGGGTGGCCACTATGGCAAGAGGTGCGGCGGGGGGGGGGGCCACTATGGCAAGAGGTGCGGCGGGGGGGGGGGGGGGCCACTATGGCAAGAGGGGCGGTGGCGGGGGGGGTGGCCACTATGGCAAGAGGTGCGGCGGGGGGGGGGGGTGGCCACTATGGCAAGAGGTGCGGCGGGGGAAGTGGCCACTATGGCAAGAGGGGCGGCGGGAGTGGCCACTATGGCAAGAGGCGCGGCGGCGGGGGGGGGGGAGTGGCCACTATGGCAAGAGGCGCGGCGGCGGGGGGCGGGAGTGGCCACTATGGCAAGAGGCGCGGCGGGGGGGGGGGCGGGAGTGGCCACTATGGCATGAGGCGTGGCGGGGGGGGGTGGCCACTATGGCAAGAGGCGGGGGGGGGAGTGGCCACTATGGCAAGAGGCGGGGGGGGGGACGGGGGGGCCACTATGGCAAGAGGCGGGGGGGGGCGGGGGGCCACCTTGGCCGGGATTATTAAACATAATTACAGTCAAGCTCTGGCAACACTGCGGCAGGAAATGGTGATTGGTAATGATGTATAATAGTTCACATTTGTATGTTTATTGCTGATTGTATTGGTGTATTCTGGCCGACCGCTGTATTCTGGCCGACCTGTATGCTGGCCGACCGCTGTATTCTGACCGACCTGTATGCTGGCCGACCGCTGTATTCTGACCGACCTGTATGCTGGCCGACCGCTGTATTCTGACCGACCGCTGTATTCTGGCCGACCTGTATGCTGGCCGACCATCCGGCCGACTGCGATCGTCTCTACCTGGCCACCCCCCCCCCCTCAACCCTACCACTCTTCCCCCCCTCTCACTGATTCCCCACTTTTTCAGTCTTTTTTTCCCCCTCTCATGCGGCTGTTTTATGGTTCGCACTAACACTTATTTTCTGCGCTCTTAATTACCTCTCGTGGCTGTTGAGCGCCTTGGCCGCCACGTTGGGTGATTGTAGGTAAAATTGGGTTGATCCTCCACGCCCACTGGTGTTCCCGCCAATTATCCGCTAGGCGCGTCTGGGATCCTCTCGGACGTAGGTTCGAACCCTCATCACGGCCTTTGTGGATTTGTTCACTTATTTACCCGCTAGGGTCCGGCACCGGCCTTCATCTTGTGACGTCACGCGCCTCCTCCACACCTGCTTCAGTACTCCACATTTTGTCTGTTTTCATTAGGTTCTCACTATGGTCGTTAGTAAGAACGGGGTAATGATCGTTTGTAAGTACGGGGTAATGGTCGTTAGTAAGGGGTAATGGATGTTTGTAAGTAAGGGGCAATGGATGTTTGTAAGTAAGGGGGCAGTGGACGTTTGTAAGTAAGGGGACAGGGACGTATGTAAGTAAGGGGACAGGGACGTATGTAAGTAAGGGGCAGAGGACGTATGTAAGTAAGGGGCAGAGGACGTAAGTAGTAAAGGGCAGTGGACGTGTGCAAGTAAGGGGCAATGGACGTTTGTAAGAACGACGCAGTGAGCGTTGATATGAACCTCGCGGTGAACGTTCGTACGAACGTCACGAGAAACGTTTGTCAGCGCGGCACGAGGAGGTCCGGACCACGTGGTTGTGTTGTGCCTGCCAGGGCTGTGACGTCACGGGGTGTTTACATATACGGGGTGATGAGCGCCGTGGGTGTTAAGCTTGTCGTGGGCCGCCATTGTGCGCCCCGGCCGCCAGGGGCTTTGGGCTTTGTGGGCGCATATTAGCGCATGTGTTGGAGCCTTTGTGTCCCCGACTAATGTTTAGTGTGGGGGGGGGGGAAAGTGAGAGGTGCCGTGAGGTGTAGCTCAATCCCGTTCTCTTGCCCACTACGTCGCATATCGTACGGAGCTGTGAACGGTTAACCCGTTAATAATGGTATTGATAATTACAAGAATATTATCGTTTTCTATTCATCGGCCTCGGTGGGTTAGGTGGGTTGCTTGGGTTGTTTTTGTTTGGTTTGGTAAAACAGTTGAATGTTTTACTGAGCGGTGCATGAAGAGAGCGCGCGTTCTCCCTGTGCGGTGTGAGCGCCCTCTGGCTGCTCCCACTAAACTCCCCAACCACAAACTGCGCGCGCGCGCACTTGAACACCGCTGCTTGATAAAGACCTCAGTAGTATCCTAATATATATAATGTACTGTAGCTTAATAAGCACATGCCCCCGGGGGTGGCTGACTCCCCCTGTGGTCCAGGAAACGTTTTTTAGTGGCAGTTGTTGTCGTGTGTTTCACGGGGAGTTTGTGCGTCTCGCAAAGTGGCCCTGGATGTGGCCTAAAATTTGCCGCTTTAAGGGTTTTAGGGAAAGATGTTTGTTGTGGCCGAGTCGTGCTGTTTGTGTACGTTTGGGTGTCCCTAATTTGGTGGTGTGTGTGTACTGCCTTGTTGGGCTTGCGGGGGTTGAACTTCGGCCCTTTGGGTCCCGCCTCTCAACTGTCAGTCAATCGACTGAATTTTTTTTCCACACACGCACCAAGGAAGTAGCCCGTAGCAGCTGTCTAACTCCCAGGTACCTATTTACTGCTAAATGAACAGAGGCATCAGGGTGGAAGAAACTCTGCCCACTTGTTTCTGCCTCCGCCGGTGATCGAACCCAGACCCTTAGAACTACGAATACCGAACGCTGTCCACTTAGCCGTCAGGCCCCATGTGTGTGCTTTTGGAGACCTCGCAGCGACAAGTGTATTTTTACCCGTTTTTACCTGGACATTTGACTTTATTGGACTAAACGGTAAAGCGATGGGGTCGCTTCTTGCGGGTCGGTGTTCAATCCCCGACCGTCCAAGTGGTTGGGCACCGTTCCTTCCCTCAGTCCCATCCCAGATCCTTATCCTCATACCCCTTCCAAGTGCTATATTGTCGGAGGCCCTCGGGATCCTCGTGGGTGCACTAGCACTCCAGGTTGCAAGCCTTTTACCATGTCGTGGTACAGTTGACTAGAGCGCGTCTGGGAACACTTGCCGCATGGGTTCGAATCCTCATCACGGCCCTTGTGGATTTGCTCAATCATATTATTGTTGATGGTGCGAGGTATACCTTGGTATGCTTCGATCACAGCCGATCAATGGGGGTATACCCGATCCTACCTGAGGTTACCTTGACTGATCTACCTAAAGGTATTCTAAGAGTAAGAATGGTTTACTCTGACTTACTTATTTTAGGGAATAGTAAGGAGTCTTGGAGAGGTGGTATTACTGCCGTGGGAATCTTGGAGAGGTGGTATTACTGCCGTGGGGGGCTTGGAGAGGGGTGGGAGTTTTGGAGAGGTGGTATTACTGCCGTGGGAGTCTTGGAGAGGTGGTATTACTGCCGTGGGAGTCTTGGAGAGGTGGTATTACTGCCGTGGGAGTCTTGGAGAGGTGGTATTACTGCCGTGGGAGTCTTGGAGAGGTGGTATTACTGCCGTGGGAGTCTTGGAGAGGTGGTGTTACTGCCGTGGGAGTCTTGGAGAGGTGGTATTACTGCCGTGGGAGTCTTGGAGAGGAGGTAATCCCGCCGTGGGAGTCTTGGAGAGGAGGTAATCCCGCCGTGGGAGTCTTGGAGAGGAGGTAATCCCGCCGTGGGAGTCTTGGAGAGGGGGTAATCCTGCCGTGGGAGTCTTGGAGAAGGCTTAATCCTGCCGGTGGGAGTCTTGGGAGGGTAATCCTGCCGTGGGAGTCTTGGAGAGGGTAATCCTGCCGTGGGAGTCTTGGAGAGGGTAATCCTGCCGTGGGAGTCTTGGAGAGGAGGTAATCCTGCCGTGGGAGTCTTAGGGAGGAGGTAATCCCGCCGTGGGAGTCTTGGAGAGGTGGTGTTACTGCCGTGGGGGGCTTGGAGAGGGGGTAATCCTGCCGTGGGAGTCTTGGAGAAGGCTTAATCCTGCCGGTGGGAGTCTTGGAGAGGGTAATCCTGCCGTGGCAGTCTTGGAGAGGAGGTAATCCTGCCGTGGCAGTCTTGGAGAGGGGGTTAATCCTGCCGTGGTAATCTTGGAGAGGGGGTTAATCCTGTCGTGGCAGTCTTGGAGAGGGGGGTAATCCTGCAGTGGCAGTCTTGGCAGGAGGGGGTTAATCCTGCCGTGGCAGTCTTGGAGAGGAGGTAATCCTGCCGTGGGAGTCTTGGGAGGAGGAGGTCTTGGGGAGGAGGTAATCCTGCCGTGGGAGTCTTCCCGCCGTGGGAGGAGGTAATCCTGCCGTGGGAGTCTTGCCGTGGGAGTCTTGGAGAGGGGGTAATCCTGCCGTGGGAGTCTTGGAGAGGGCGTTAATCCTGCCGTGGGAGTCTTGGAGAGGAGGTAATCCTGCCGTGGGAGTCTTGGAGAGGGGGTAATCCTGCCGTGGGAGTCTTGGAGAGGAGGTAATCCTGCCGTGGGAGTCTTGGGGAGGAGGTAATCCTGCCGTGGGAGTCTTGGGGAGGAGGTAATCCTGCCGTGCGCGCCTCGTTCGTCAGATCCGGGCAGCGGGAAGCGACAGGCGGCCGTCATTACTCCATTATTACTCTTGCCTCAACTATTATTACCTCGGGAATTATCCTATAAATTATATGATAAATTTATACTAATGTGGACCTGGAGGCTGGTGGGTGGAGCAGGCTCCAGTTTGTGGTCGGCCGCCATACTCCTGTTCATCGTGTGTGTGTACTCACCTAGTTGTGTTTGCGGGGGTTGAGCTCTGGCTCTTTGGTCTCGCCTCTCAACTGTCAATCAACAGGTGTACAGATTCCTGAGCCTATCGGGCTCTGTCATATCTACACTTGAAACTGTGTATGGAGTCAGCCTCCACCAACATCACCCCCTAATGCATTCCATTTGTCAACCACTCTGACACTAAAAAAGTTCTTTCTAATATCTCTGTGGCTCATTTGGGCACTCAGTTTCCACCTGTGTCCCCTTGTGTTAAATAGACTGTCTTTATCTACCCTATCAATTCCCTTCAGAATCTTGAATGTGGTGATCATGTCCCCCCTAACTCTTCTGTCTTCCAGCGAAGTGAGGTTTAATTCCCGTAGTCTCTCCTCGTAGCTCATACCTCTCAGCTCGGGTACTAGTCTGGTGGCAAACCTTTGAACCTTTTCCAGTTTAGTCCTATCCTTGACTAGATATGGACTCCATGCTGGGGCTGCATACTCCAGGATTGGCCTGACATATGTGGTATACAAAGTTCTGAATGATTCTTTACACAAATTTCTGAATGCCGTTCGTATGTTGGCCAGCCTGGCATATGCCGCTGATGTTATCCGCTTGATATGTGCTGCAGGAGCACAGGTCTGCGTGATATCAACCCCCAAGTCTTTTTCCTTCTCTGACTCCTGAAGAATTTCCTCTCCCAGATGATACCTTGTATCTGGCCTCCTGCTCCCTACACCTATCTTCATTACATTACATTTGGTTGGGTTAAACTCTAACAACCATGTGTTCGACCATTCCTTCAGCTTGTCTAGGTCTTCTTGAAGCCTCAAACAGTCCTCTTCTGTTTTAATCACCTGGTTGATACCTGGTTGATGGGTTCTGGGAGTTCTTCTACTCCCCAGCCGGGTTAATCCTGCCGTGGGAGTCTTGGAGAGGGGGTAATCCTGCCGTGGGAGTCTTGGAGAGGGGGTTAATCCTGCCGTGGGAGTCTTGGAGAGGGGGGTAATCCTGCCGTGGGAGTCTTGGAGAGGGGGTTAATCCTGCCGTGGGAGTCTTGGAGAGGGGGTAATCCTGCCGTGGGAGTCTTGGAGAGGGGGTTAATCCTGCCGTGGGAGTCTTGGAGAGGGGGTAATCCTGCCGTGGGAGTCTTGGAGAGGGGGTTAATCCTGCCGTGGGAGTCTTGGAGAGGGGGTTAATCCTGCCGTGCGCGCCTCGTTCGTCAGATCCGGGCGGCGGGAAGCGACAGGCGGCCGTCATTACTCCATTATTACTCTTGCTCCAACTATTATTACCTCGGGAATTATCCTATAAATTATATGATAAATTATACTAATGTGGACCTGGAGGCTGGTGGGTGGAGCAGGCTCCAGTTTGTGGTCGGCCGCCATACTCCTGTTCACCGTGTGTGTGTACTCACCTAGTTGTGTTTGCGGGGGTTGAGCTCTGGCTCTTTGGTCTCGCCTCTCAACTGTCAATCAACAGGTGTACAGATTCCTGAGCCTATCGGGCTCTGTCATATCTACACTTGAAACTGTGTATGGAGTCAGCCTCCACCACATCACCCCCTAATGCATTCCATTTGTCAACCACTCTGACACTAAAAAAGTTCTTTCTAATATCTCTGTGGCTCATTTGGGCACTCAGTTTCCACCTGTGTCCCCTTGTGTTAAATAGACTGTCTTTATCTACCCTATCAATTCCCTTCAGAATCTTGAATGTGGTGATCATGTCCCCCCTAACTCTTCTGTCTTCCAGCGAAGTGAGGTTTAATCCCCGTAGTCTCTCCTCGTAGCTCATACCTCTCAGCTCGGGTACTAGTCTGGTGGCAAACCTTTGAACCTTTTCCAGTTTAGTCCTATCCTTGACTAGATATGGACTCCATGCTGGGGCTGCATACTCCAGGATTGGCCTGACATATGTGGTATACAAAGTTCTGAATGATTCTTTACACAAATTTCTGAATGCCGTTCGTATGTTGGCCAGCCTGGCATATGCCGCTGATGTTATCCGCTTGATATGTGCTGCAGGAGACAGGTCTGGCGTGATATCAACCCCCAAGTCTTTTTCCTTCTCTGACTCCTGAAGAATTTCCTCTCCCAGATGATACCTTGTATCTGGCCTCCTGCTCCCTACACCTATCTTCATTACATTACATTTGGTTGGGTTAAACTCTAACAACCATTTGTTCGACCATTCCTTCAGCTTGTCTAGGTCTTCTTGAAGCCTCAAACAGTCCTCTTCTGTTTTAATCCTTCTCATAATTTTAGCATCGTCCGCAAACATTGAGAGAAATGAATCGATACCCTCCGGGAGATCATTTACATACATCAGAAACAAGATAGGACCGAGTACAGAGCCCTGTGGGACTCCACTGGTGACTTCACGCCAATCGGAGGTCTCACCCCTCACCGTAACTCTCTGCTTCCTATTGCTTAGATACTCCCTTATCCACTGGAGCACCTTACCAGCTACACCTGCCTGTCTCTCCAGCTTATGTACCAGCCTCTTATGCGGTACTGTGTCAAAGGCTTTCCGACAATCCAAGAAAATGCAGTCCGCCCAGCCCTCTCTTTCTTGCTTAATCTGTGTCACCTGATCGTAGAATTCTATCAAGCCTGTAAGGCAAGATTTACCCTCCCTGAACCCATGTTGGCGATTTGTCACGAAGTCCCTTCTCTCCAGATGTGTTACCAGGTTTTTTTCTCACGATCTTCTCCATCACCTTGCATGGTATACAAGTCAAGGACACTGGCCTGTAGTTCAGTGCCTCTTGTCTGTCGCCCTTTTTGTATATTGGGACCACATTCGCCGTCTTCCATATTTCTGGTAGGTCTCCCGTCTCTAGTGACTTACTATACACTATGGAGAGTGGCAAGCAAAGGGCCTCTGCACACTCTTTCAGTACCCATGGTGAGATCCCATCTGGACCAACAGCCTTTCTAATATCCAGATCCAGCAGGTGTCTCTTGACCTCCTCTCTCGTAATTTCGAACTCCTCCAAGGCCGCCTGGTTTATCTCCCTTTCTCCTAGCACAGTGACCTCACCCTGTTCTATTGTGAAGACCTCCTGGAACCTCTTGTTGAGTTCCTCACACACCTCTCTGTCATTCTCTGTATACCTGTCCTCGCCTGTTCTAAGTTTCAATACCTGTTCTTTCACTGTTGTTTTCCTTCTGATGTGACTGTGGAGTAGCTTTGGTTCGGTCTTGGCTTAGTTTGCTATATCATTTTCAAAATTTTTCTCTGCTTCTCTTCTCACCCTGACGTACTCATTCCTGGTTCTCTGGTATCTCTCTCTCTGCTTTCTGGTGTTCTGTTATTCCGGAAGTTCCTCCACGCCTTTTTGTTCAGTTTCTTCGCTTCCATACATGCCCTATTATACCATGGAGTCTTCTGTTGCTTCTCGCATTTTTCCCTTTGGGCCGGGATGAACCTGTTTACTGCCTCCTGGCACTTTTGGGTAACATAGTCCATCATACCCTGTACAGACTTGTCTCTGAGGTCTGTGTCCCAAGGTATTTCACTTAGGAAACTTCTCATCTGTTCATAATTGCCCTTTCGGTATGCCAGCCTTTTGATTCCTAGTTCTTTTTGGGGGGAGATAAGTCCTAGCTCTACAAGGTACTCAAAGTTCAATACACTGTGGTCACTCATTCCCAAGGGCGCTTCCATCTTAACTTCCCTTATATCCCATTCATTTAGGGTAAATATCAAATCAAGCATTGCTGGTTCATCTTCTCCTCTCATTCTTGTTGGTTCTTTGGTGTGCTGGCTTAGAAAGTTTCTTGTTGCCACGTCCAGCAGCTTAGCTCTCCATGTTTCTGGTCCTCCATGTGGGTCTCTGTTCTTCCAATCTATCTTCCCATGGTTGAAGTCTCCCATAATTAGTACTCCAGATCCATTCCTGCTAGCAACAGAAGCTGCTCTTTCTATTATGTTAATGGTGGCCATGTTGTTTCTATCATATTCCTGTCTAGGTCTTCTGTCATTTGGTGGTGGATTATATATGACTGCGACTATAATTTTTTTCCCTCCATTTGTTACAGTACCTGCTATGTAGTCACTGAAACCTTCACAGCCCTGAATATCCATCTCCTCAAAATCCCAGCCTTTTCTTACCAGCAGAGCTACACCACCCCCACCTCTTCCTTCCCTCTCTTTCCTCATAACATTATAGTCCTGTGGGAACACTGCATTTGTTACCGTTTTCGTGATCTTTGTTTCTGTGAGTGCTATTATGTCTGGGTTTTCCTCTAGTACCAGTTCTCCAAGCTCATTTGCTTTATTTGTAATTCCATCTATGTTAGCGTACATCGCTTTGAGGTTCACTTTCTTCTGTCCCATCTCAACTCGCCTCCTTGGTGAGTGTTCTGCTGGTGGGGGAGGCTGTTCCATGGGTGTGAGGACCTGTGTGTGTGTGTGTGTGTGTGTGTGTGTGTGTGTGTGTGTGTGTGTGTGTGTGTTTGTTGTCGTTGCTGCTTGTTTCGGTGGCGGGGGTCGGGGAGGGGGTGGTGAGTCTTCTGTATTTGCTTGTTGAGTCCTTTGTTTGTTGTTCGCGTGGTATTGGTGACTTTGTATCTGTTTTTTTTTTGTGCTTGCGTTTCATGTGCTCGTTATATATGTGTTTTTTTTTGGTGTGTTTTTTGTTTCGTGTTTGTTGTGTTTTTCACCTGCTGTGGGTTTGTTTCTCTTGTGTTTTTGTGGTCGACTAACATCAAGACCGGCATTAATCCTCAGGTTATGCTCGTTCACACTGCTGAAATTATCTTAGGTCATGGACCACAACGGACGGTCCATGGAAGACTGTCAAGAGGTCCATGGAAGACTGTCAAGAGGGCCATGGAACTAATTGAACTAATTGTATTGAACTCCCAGAAAATAAGAACCACTCACCTGAGTGCTGAACTGACTGACTAACTCTCTTCGTCGACACGAAGCTTTAACTGTGAAGAACAATGCTGGAATTGTGTACTCACCTAGTTGTGCTTGCGGGGGTTGAGCTCTGGCTCTTTGGTCCCGCCTCTCAACTGTCAATCAACATGTGTACAGGTTCCTGAGCCTATTAGGCTCTATCATATCTACACTTGAAACTGTGTATGGAGTCAGCCTCCACCACATCACTTCCTAATGCATTCTATTTGTCAACCACTCTAACACTAAAAAAGTTCTTTCTAATATCTCTGTGGCTCATTTGCGCACTCAGTTTCCACCTGTGTCCCCTTGTGCGTGTTCCCCTTGTGTTAAACAGCCTGTCTTTATCAACCCTGTCGATTCCCTTGAGGATCTTGTGTGTGTGTGTGTGTGTGTGTGTGTGTGTGTGTGTGGAAACAGCCAGGAGTTACCTAAAACTAGTAGCAGCAATGACTATTTGGTCTATTTTGTTAGCTATCTATTTTATGGTAAGGGTCCACAGGTGAGAACGTGGTTGTAGAGTTCTATCCGTCTCTCCGTCTTGCCTTCCGTCTGTCCGTCTTGCCTTCCGTCTCTCCATCGTGCCTTCCGTCTCTCCGTCGTGCCTTCCGTCTCTCCGTCGTGCCTTCCGTCTCTCCGTCGTGCCTTCCGTCTCTCCGTCGTGCCTTCCGTCTCTCCGTCGTGCCTTCCGTCTCTCCGTCGTGCCTTCCGTCTCTCCGTCGTGCCTTCCGTCTCTCCGTCGTGCCTTCCGTCTCTCCGTCGTGCCTTCCGTCCGCTCTAGCACTCTACCCGTCATTATATACTTTTCATAATGACGCTATTTGCATTCTCATCACTGTGCATTGAAAATTATTTGCATGTTGGAGGGCTGGAGGCGACCACAGCGGCTGGCGACGACGGGGGTGGTGGTGATGGTGGTTGGGGGGGGGGAGTCGTTGTGGGTGGTAATGGTGGTCATGGTTAGAGGTGGTTGTGGTAGTGGCAGGGGGGTTATGGTGGAGGGGGGTCGTTGAGGGTGGTAATGCTGGTGGTCGTGGTTAGAGGTAATGGTGGTGGCAAGTGAGTCGTGTTGGTGGTCGTGGCGATAGGTAAATGTAGCGGTGATTTTAATTTTCCTAAACCACAGCAATTTTTACCTTGAGGTCTATAGTTTAAGACAAAGGGATATGGACCTTCTGGTATCATATCGCCCCATGTAATTTTGGGGTCGAGTCTGCTGTAGTGATAAGTGCCAAGGTGACCCTTATTGTAGCGAACCATCGTGTGGGGGCCGTAGGGTCGAGGGTGCCAGGTTGGGGAGTGCCAGAATGGACCTTGGGTGCGGGGCGGGAAATCCTTCTCGTGTATGGTATTAGATCTGTTTCCTGTTTTGTTAACGGCCGAGGGTTCCTTAATGGCTTGCCCTCTCGTACCCAGATCCTGCAACTGGTGCCCCTGCCTTGGCACTCCCTTGGCCTTGCCTCGGCACTCCCTTGGCCCTGCCTTGGCCTTGGCACTGCCTTGGCCCTCTCTGCCCTGTCTTCCCGTGGTCCTGGCCTGCTGTGCTGCCTGCCCGCGTTCTTCCCGCCCTTTCTGTCTTTCCTTCTACTTTACCATTTCTTTTTCTCTCCTTTCTCACTGTATCTTTCTCTATCACGCTCAGTGTTTCTTGTTTATTTTAATATCTCGTCTCCCCTACTCCCATTCCATCGGCCCCTTCTTTTCCGTCTTATGCCATCCGTCCCTCCACCTGTCCTCATCCATCTATCGTTCTGTCCGTCCCTCTGAAACCCCTCATGCTCTATCCATTCCTACTCTATCCACTACTCTACCAACCGTTTCTACCATCCATCTGTTCCCTCTCTCCCATTACCCCCATCCCTCCACCAAGACCATCCCATTCAATCCTCCTCTTGCCTCGTTTACCTATTGTCGGTTCTGGTAATGACCGGCAAGGCTGTTGCTGGCAGCAGTTCGCACGTCCACGTTTCCATTACAACCCGACTGATCCGGTACTTGAATATATAACATTTCGTTCCGAAAATATATCCTATACTTGGTGGAAGGTGGATGACAGGCCGTGAACCTCTGATGTTCTCTGTGCCTAGGGCTCCTATGCCCTTCATTGGCTCTATACTGCTCTTTTGCCTCCAGCAAGGTGTTATTTTGTCGTGTAAATGTGGAGCCTGGCCTCCAGTGTCTTCCATGTAAATATTTGATACCTGCTTGATGGGGTTCTGGGAGTTCTTCTACTCCCCAAGCCCGACTCGAGGCCAGGCTTGATTTGAGATTGCTTGGTCCAACAGGCTGTTGCTTAGTGCAACAGGTTGTTGCTTGATCCAACAGGCTGTTGCTTGGTCCAACAGGCTGTTGCTTGGTCCAACAGGTTGTTGCTTGGTCCACCAGGCTGTTGCTTGGAGCGGCCCACAGGCCCACATACCCACCATAGCCTCTCTCCTCTCCTTCCCAGAGTGTCCATTTTGAAAGTCTGAGACGGTCACGATTATTCATGTGTTGTGTCTGTGTCAATGAGTTCTCTCTGCTCTCTTGTGTGTTTCTATTCCAGCTGTCTCTTCTGCTTGGCAAAGAGAAGGGAGTATGGAGCAGTATTTGAGGCGGGAAGGCACCAGTGGTTGTAAAAGCAGGAGCATATAGTGACCATCTCTTGACCAGAAGGTTTTGTTTGGTATTCCATTCTTATCTTCATCTGTTGCTGGTCATAGACTTAGTGTGTGTGTGCGTGTACTCACATAGAGGTGCTTGTTGGGTCGAGCTAGGCTCCTGGTCCCCGCCTTCCCAACATTCTTAGATTAATGCAATGACTCATTGCTCACCCGTTTATCATATTTACATAACAAATTTGGAATAGAGTTAGCTTCAACAACTTCTGCATCTAACCTATTCTATTTATTGACAGCCCCAACACTGGAAAGGTTCTTCCTGATGTCTCTATACTCATTTGAATCTCCAGTTTCCATCTATAACTCCTTGTTCTGTTGTTCCTAGATTTGAACACCGCTGCTTTGTCTAATTTGTCAATTTCCCTTATAATCTTATATGTTGTTATCATGTCCCCCTTATCTCTCCTTTCCTCCAGTGTAGTATTGTGCGTGTGCACAGGGCGTGGATGATGGCTGGTTGCGTGCTGGAGGCGAGGCTTGGCGATCCCCGGAAAATATTTTATATCCTTGTGATCTATTTGGAACGATTGTTGGAAAAATAACTGCTGGCCTAGGGTGTGGGGGAGAATGTGGGCCGTGGGCGTGGGCGGGAGTGTAGGCCGTGGGTGTGGGCGGGAGTGTAGGCCGTTGGAGTGGGCGGGAGTGTAGGCCGTGGGAGTGGGCGGGAGTGTAGGCCGTGGAAGTGGGCGGGAGTGTAGGCCGTGGGAGTGGGCGGGAGTGTAGGCCGTGGGAGTGGGCGGGAGTGTAGGCTGTGGGTGTGGGCGGGAGTGTAGGCCGTTGGAGTGGGCGGGAGTGTAGGCCGTGGGAGTGGGCGGGAGTGTAGGCCGTGGAAGTGGGCGGGAGTGTAGGCCGTGGGAGTGGGCGGGAGTGTAGGCCGTGGGAGTGGGCGGGAGTGTAGGCCGTGGGAATGGGCGGGAGTGTAGGCCGTGGGATTGGGCGGGAGTGTAGGCCGTGCGAGTGCCGTGGGCAGATACATTAAGCTATGGATGCTGGAGGATGCCAACAGTGGTCATGGCTCGTGTGTGTCCGCCGTCTCACAGGGAGAGAGGAAGAGAGATGCATTGGCTCTACACACACCCCTTACCAACTCTTAATTATTTCCACCTCTACGTCCGAACGACACAGAGTCGAGAATACCGTGCCGGGTTACGCTGTCTCACCGCCGACGAGGGGGGAAGGTTGGGGGGGGGGGGTCCATCCAGTCTCCCTGGCAAGCAATTCTTGCTCTTATCGCCTCCCGCCGTAGATCCCACCGTTGCCTGGCGTGACCACAGGTGATTGAGTTGTTAAGAGACGGCCGGCTGTTCTGCTTCCCTTTTCACGGAATTCCCGCATGTAATCTTACCTTCCGGAGGACTTAGTGCAACTTGCCAGGGTTGAGGTGGTTGGGCAAGACTTGGGGGGGGGAGGTCACCTCTAACCCCCATTCTTGTCCTGGCTACTCTACTGATCCACTACTCTGTTTAGTCTTGCATAATACACCTCTTATTATTCATGCACTAGATTGAATTCGCCTATTCATTCTTTGCTTAATTATTTATTTATCCACATATTAATTCATATTCATTCATGTATTGTCATTCATTCATATATTAATTCATTGAACAATTTCGCAAGGGCCGTGACGAGGTCTCGAACTTACATCCGAGAGGATCCCAGACGCTGCCTTAATCGAGAACAAATCCCCTTTTGGATTTGTTCATTTGATGCATCACGCTATTGTGATTTCTGTGTGTTATTAGTTCATTATTTTTTAATAATATATATATATATATATATATATATATATATATATATATGTCGTACCTAGTAGCCAGAACGCACTTCTCAGCCTACTATGCAAGACCCGATTTGCCTAATAAGCCAAGTTTTTTTGAACTAATATATTTTCTCAAATTTTTTTCTTATGAAATGATAAAGCTACCAATTTCATTATGTATGAGGTCATTTTTTTTATTGGAGTTAAAATTAACGTAGATATATGACCGAACCTAACCAACCCTACCTAACCTAACCTAACCTATCTTTATAGGCTAGGTTAGGTTAAGTAGCCGAAAAAGTTAGGTTAGGTTAGGTAGGTTAGGATGTCGAAAAACAATTAATTCATGAAAACTTGGCTTATTAGGCAAATTGGGCCTTGCATAGTAGGCTGAGAAGTGAGTTCTGGCTACTATGTACGACATATATATATATATATATATATATATATATATATATATATATATATATATATATATATATATATATATATATATATATATATATTATTAAATATGACCGAAAAAATAAGATTAATAATTCTAACACGAATTTTCTCAATATTTCTTATGTTTCTTTTCACTGTCGATGGTAATTGAAAAATCAATTCTCCAAAATTCATTTTTATTTCTAGTCTGATGCGACACTTGAACGCGTTTCGTAATAACTTATTACATTTTCAAAGACTTTAGTTTACACACACAACCATAACCTGCAAACACTAAACAGAGTTCGACTATGCTATCATTTACACAGCTTTCATCTTATATACCCGCATTTGGGTGAGGAGATATGTTACAACAGTTTTGGATGAGGTGAACAAAACTTTCAACACAAGATAGAGCAAACTTTCAACACAAGACAGAACACGGTGCAATGGGTATAAATTGGATAAATTATAGGGAAAAATGGAAGTAACTGCAAAGGGCCTATTGACCCATATTTCTTGATGCTTCTATATTGGTGCGGAGTCTTGAAGTGGGTAGAATATAGTTGTGCATTAATTGGCTGTTGGTTGCTGGTGTTGACTTCTTGATGTGTAGTGCCTCGCAGACGTCAAGCCGTCTGCTATCGCTGTATCTATCGATGATTTCTGTGTTGTTTGTTAAAACTTCTCTTGTGATGGTTTGGTTGTGGGAAGAGATTATATGTTCCTTAATGGAGCCCTGTTGCTTATGCATCGTTAATCGCATTAATTGGTGGGGGGAGTGTAGGGGGGGGGAGTGTAGGTGTGGAGGAGTGTAGGGGGGGAGTGTAGGTGTGGGGATTGTAGGTGTGGGGGAGTGTAGGTGGGGGAAGTGTAGGTGGGGGGAAGTGTTGGTGGGGGGGGGGGAGTGTTGGTGGAAGTCTTTAGCGAGCGGGGGTGTGAAAGAGATCCCGGGGTTCCTTCTTCAGGTAAAGAATGAGTTGTGGACCTCCCTATCTATTGTATATTTATACCGGGAATGTTTGTGTCTGTCTGGTCAAAGTTGGAGGTCAGACGCTAGGGGCTAGTCTCACCCAAATTTGCAAGGGGAATGGTCTGGGATCCGGGACGGACATAGGCTGGTCGGGGTAGGCCCAAGTCAAATGGTTCAAGGCATATTGCCTGTGATCCTACACCTCCCGGGCGATGTTCATCAAGTTGGAAATAAAATAGATGTGTTATTTTTTGTTTAAATTTGGACCGCTATAGCAGGTGAAGGAGCACTAGTACCGCCACTAGCAGAACACCTGCAGCCTTAGTAGCAGTAGCAGTAGCAGTAGCAGCAACTGTAGGAGGGATAAGTGCAACAAGAGCAGCAACAAGAGCAGTAGAGGAACAGTAACGTGATCACGGCCGCTGCAGCTGGCGCCTTTCCCGCCATCACTCTTATCTCTTGCCCTCCTCCTTCCACCCCCCCCCCTCCCCTCTCCCCACACCGTCGCCATGTGCCCCCCCTTCCCCTCGGAGCCTCCCTCATCTCCCCCTCCTCCCCCTCTTCCTCATTCCCTTCCTTCCTCAGTCTTCCTCATCTATACCTGCCTCAATCAATTGTCTTCGTTTCACCCTCACCCCGCCATCATTCCCCGCCTCCACCTCACCAGCCAATTACAATTGGTTCTTATTTATTTCGATTTGATTGTTGCCAATTCATAGTTGTTCATTTTCCTTGTTGTCCCGTAGCTTTTTCTCTCATCCCCTCCCTCACCCCCTCTTACCCCCTCCCTCACCCCCTCTCATCCCCCTCCCTTATCCCCTCCCATACCCCCTCCCTCACCCCCTCCCATACCCCCTCCCTCACCCCCCCCCGTCTCAAATGTTCAGTATAATGAGGTAATAAAGTGCACTTGTAGACAAGAAAGTGCTAAACCTATAGAGGGGTCTCTGAGCACTCTGAATGTTCACTCTGGAAGGGATTCGCCAGAGCGTCCACCGCTCAACATCCTCCAAGATCACTTCCCTAATCTACAGTATTAAACAAAGCGCGTCACCGCCTCCTAAACGAGTTAGGCGGCGGTGACCGATACACAGCCTAGCCAGAGTCGTTTCCCATCATCTCTTACGGAAGACGGAGGAAGGTCAACGTAGAAAGGTCACTCTATAAGAGCACCCAGTTTATTGTCCAACGACCCTGCCTATGGTCGCGGATTGCAGAATGAATGATTGGATGGAAATCTGAATAATGAATCTCTTTCCGGGGAACGTTGTAAGAATGTGGCAAGTACGAATGGTCCTCCTTCGCGGCGGTGTGTCCACAAGTCTATTGACGGTAACACCAGTATGGCAGGAACCATAGGAGCACTTAGGAGATTAGAAGCGACCAGTATTGGGTTGCCACACGATGCATAGGGGATAATTATCATTGTTTTTGTATAATTCATTTGTGTCGGGGGGACAGGAAGCCAGAGTGTATTCATACACGTTAGCCTTATATCGAGGTTGTCCCAAAAGGTCGAATTACTGACCCCGCCCAGGATGCAACCCCACTACAAGCTGACTAACTCCCGAGGTCCTACTTACTGCTAGGTGAACAGTCCCATTAGGTGCAAGGAAATTTGCTCAACCATTTCTGTCCCGCCTGGGATTCGAACCCGGAATTCGGGATTGTGAGTGGAGAAGGAAGCCGTCGTGTACAAGCGGGACCTAGAAAGACTGGAGAGCCATGACGGCAGTGCGAGCCTCCACCACACTGACGCAGGAACGTTGACGCACACACCAGCTGGCGATGGTCGTGCGTCATGGTCATACGTCATGCATATGGACGTACAGACGAGGGTGTATACAGTCCCACTCTGAAGAAGCTTACAGCCACTTTGACTGGACGGTAGAGCGACAGTCTCGCTTCATGCAGGTCGGCGTTCAATCCCCGGTCATCAAGGTGGTTGGGCACCATTCCTTCCCCCTGTCCCATCCCAAATCCTTATCCTGACCCCTTACCAGTGCTGTAAAGTTGTAATGGCTTGGCGTTTTGTATTATTATTATTATCTGAAGAAGCTTCTATAACTCGGCTGAGAAATAATCCATTTCAAGCGTCTGTGTCTCTCCTCACACCTTCTCTCCTCACAAGTCTCTTCTTAAATTATAAAAAAAAAGCACAAAAACAGTAAATATTTATTATCGCTGTGTATTATGCACCTGGACCGTTCTCGAGGTATCCGGATAAGTAGATGAGGATGTTCAGATTGTGTGGCCGAGCTGCACTTACCTTGTAGTGGGTTCAGGTCGAACTGTAGCGCCGGGGTCAAGTTCTCTTGCTTCTCGACATATTTAGTTTGATGTATAATAACCACAGTTACAAAACTACTTAGATTCTGTGACACTTTTCCACTCAACCAGCAGATAACTAGAGCGAATGAAAATCAACCTGTCCTCTTAAAAATAACGTCGCTTTTGGCCGTTTGCCAGTATGGCCGAAAGTGGACGTAATTTGAAAATGAAAAAAAAATGAAAATAAATTTGGGATTTTTTTTTTTCAACAACAGTAAGTTAAGGGTCCTCTGATAGGTTAGGTGGGCAGGAAATTCTCATAAAGTTTCAAAACGTTATGAAAAACGTTAATTGAAAGTTTCCTCTTCTAACCTTACCGAGTAAGCCGGACGACTCAAACAGAAAACGGGACAGTACGTCACTTTTGTGAGTCGATTTCATTTCAAATTACGTCCAAATTTGGCCATAGCGCGCATACGAGCCAAAAGTGACGTTATTTTTAAGAGGACGGGTTGAGGAGTGGAGGGTGAGTGTGGAGGACGAGTGG